GCGCTTCTATCCGGGGGCTTACAGTACTATATGGGTGTTAATATAATCACTACAATAAGAGTGCAGCAGCTTGATTCCGTCATGCACATGCCCTGCACTCTCCTCTCTGTGTAGAGCATCTGTACAGCCTCCTCCAGCCACAGCCAGGCAAGGCAAGTATGGCTCATGCAGCCTCCTCCCCACATCCACAGAGTGGTCTCTTGCCCAACCAGCCTTGCACCTGCTGCTGTACAACTGCAAAGGCACAGGTTCTGACCATTCTCCACCTCTTTGCAGTATGCAGCCGTGCACAACCACCATTCCATGCCTCACTCCTCCGCAAGCATCCTCCCCTCAATCTTCACACCCCTTACCTCCACGCCGCTCTTCAGTCTTCCCTACCAAGACATACTCACGTCCTCCCTCACTGCACCTCCCTCTCCATCATCACCCCCAGCCACCCTGCTAGCCTATCTGCCTGTGCTAATTACCGTACTCAGACGATTCCCTTCTGTTGTAGAGAGATTTCTCAGCTTGGTCAGGGCAGTCCAATGCTGCAGCCCATCATCCATGACTGCCGTGCCATGCAGCCAGAGATGCATAAGCCCTGTCCGCCTCCCTACATGCACCATGCCCGCATTTGTCACACCCTTGCACGCAGAAAGCCACAACAGCTTGAGAGAAGAGAGAGCTGTCAAGTGTGCTAGACCAGCATCAATCACGTTGGTCTTAATGAGTTCGAGCTCCTTCAAACTGGTCAAGGACCCAATGCCTTCCAAGGCACTATCTGACACGTCTGTGCATGTGAGGTCTAGCGTCTCAAGCCGTGGCAGCCTGTAGAGGTGCTTGATGCCCTCTGCACTGAAGCCCGAGCTAGATTCCAATACAATGCCCTTGAGAAGCGTCATGGTGCACACATGCCCGAGCATGACACCTGCGACGCCTTGGCGACTCCTCTGACTCATTTCCGCTCGTCATGATGCTGACTGGATCGCCTGGAGGTGATGGACGAAGAGGGCATGGATGACAAGCAAAGGAATGACCATCTGAGAGGCTGTGCAGAAAAAAAAGGATGAAGAGAAAAAGCATGGAAAAGGAATGGATGGCCAAATGGCAAGCAATGCATGCACTCAACACACACCTTCCATGCCATCTTTTGATCGCCTTTACTCTGCTTGATTTGCAGCGTTAGAGGCCCTTCCTTAGAGGCCGCCAGGTCCTCCGTGGCATGCGGCTCATTCAACTTCTGCACCTCCCTCCTCCTCTCCGCGTCCCGTGCAAAATCCGCTGTGATTCCTTGCTTTCTCTTTCTACTCTTTCCTTTTAGGCCTGTTCCATCCAATGCCCTACAACTCTCAGCCACTTTCTCTGCCATACGTGCTCGTGTTTCGCCAACTCCCCCTTCACCACTGCCAATTCCCCTTTAACCACTACCAACTCCCTCTTAATCGCTGTAAACTCCCCCTTCACTGTTGCAAAAGTGCGCCACAGCTCATCCACTTCCTCCTTGTGTGCAGCCAGCTCCTCTCTCACTGCTGCCAGCACCGCATCTCTGATCAACTCGTTCACTGCACTCGGCACTCCCTTGGCAGCCATATCATCCACTCACTCTCCTCAAACAACCCACTTTTAACGGCTGATCCCCCTGGGTTCAGCTGTCGTTTTCACTGCAGAATGGCGAAAGACGACACGTGCAAACTAGGTAGGGCAGGGTTGGGCGAACAAGCTGTTCGAGGAACATGAAAAGTGGGACAAGGGTCAAGTCACGAGGGAGGAGAAAAAGAACATGATAGGATGCTGCAGGGGGGTGCGGAGCTGTAATGGCCACAAGACGAAGAGTTCAACTCAGCCTGGCATGAAACCTGCCAGCTCTGCTCCTTACCACAGTCAGGCAGGCGAGGGAGGCCGGATCGAGCACACGATCTGAAAGCAGAGCACAAGTGAGGACAAAACTGGCAGTGAATGCCATAGTATTTTGACACAAGCAAAGCAAGCCGAAGCAATTAGCAGCAAGGCTGGCTCGCTTTGGCCATTTAAAACACACAACAGTATCATGGGGTGAGAGTTTTGAAGTGGTTTGGAGGGTCATTGGTGGTAAGGAGAGAGACTGGAATTGCTCTGGGAAAACCTGGAGGGTCTGAATTAGCTACAGTTCAGACATGTGACAGCTGGAACCATCCTGCTCGCTGGTTCTCAAGGCTAGGTCATTCACAGAGTTAGACACTCAGTAACAAGCCAGGTCAAACAAAGGACAGGTCAATAACAACCTTGTTTACTCACACACTAGGCTAGGTCGGTAACAATCTTGGTCACTCACAGGTAGGGCAGTGTAGGCTATGTCAGTCACAAACAATCTAGGTCAGCTGAATTACTGCCTGAATACCCTTTTTTGAGCCTAGGTCAAGGCTAGCCTCCTCAGAAGCTAGGACAGTCAGGGCTGATGCTAAGTCGGAGGCTATGACCGCCACACTTCACAAGAAGAATCTGGGAGAAGAGTGAGTCTCAGGCTAGGACAGTCACATCACATGCTATGCACGTCAAGCTTCACATATGCAAGGTATTGTTGGCCAGGTCACGAACAGGCTACGTCCGTATGAGGCTAGGACACTGAAGGCTAACTCCTCACAGGGTGAGTCACAGGCTTGGTCAGTCAGTCACACGGAGAACCCGAACACAGACAAGACCTATCACGGGCTACTGCGTCAGTCGAACCTAGGACAGCCACATGCGCTAAGTGACTTATAGGCTACGTCACTCACACCCTAGGTGGTCAATCACAGGCAAGGTTATGCACAGGCTAGGCCAGTCACAGTATGGGACAGCTATAGGCTAGGCTAGCCACAGGTTGGGTGGGTCAGTCACGAGCAATGGAAGTCAATTGCTAGGTCACTTATAGTTGGAGCATTGGACAGTCAAATGCTAAGTCAGACACACAAGCTAGGTCAATCAGAGGCCAGGTCACTAACATGATAGACCAGTCACAAGCCACAAGGTAGGGTCAGAGTTAGGTCCATCAGAGATTTGGTACTATGGAATTTTGGTGAGGCATTGGCTAGGTTAGTCACAGGGTAGGTCACTCATAGCCTTCAGCTGTGGGATGCAACCCGCACTTGGCTAAGGAAAGGCTGATTTTTTTCCCCGTAACACTCCAGATTCAGATTGATACCTTCCCCCAAATTATTGACCATCATCAAGCTCGCCTTACTGCATCTACCTACTCAGCAAGTCCACACAATTGCTGCACTCACTTTCTCGCACAAATCTCTACACCGACTAACCTCCTTCCCCTAATCCAGGCACACGGAAGTAATTTTCGTATCAAATTCAGTTACAATTTTTCAGTCCTCATAAGATAGGTCAGTTAGGGGCAAAGTCCCACATACGTGAGTCAGAGCCTACGATAGTAAGACAAGATGAGCCACAGGCTGAGTCTTTTACAAAATAGGTCATTCGTTCAAGTTGGGTCAAAACAAAGGCTGGGTCAGTCACAAGCTAGGTCAGACACGCATCAGAGAGGTTAGGTCAGTTATGGGCCACATCACCCACAGGCTGGGTCAGTCACAAGCTAGGTCAGACACGCATCAGAGGTTATATATATATATATATATATATATATATATATATATATATATATATATATATATATATATATATATATATATATATATATATATATATATAGGTCGGTTATGGGCCACATCACCCACAGGCTGGGTCAGTCACGCGACAGCGTGACCGCCTGAACCAGGCCGAAGGGAATTAGCACGAAATGACGCCTGGTGTGATTATACTCAAAATCGATGCAAGCGAGACGACGTAACTTGACGTGTCACTTCGGGCTCTGACACAACTACAAGCACCACGGTTCGTGATGCTTACAATGCGGAAGACCGAGTCCAGGAACAGAAAAGCGAGACTCAGGAGCCGAAAGAAGAATCGTACCTTTATCTAGGGTTTCCCGGACTATGGCGTTTCCGCAGCTCTCGGAGTGACTGGGAAGCGCCGAGAAGACAGGTACGAGCGGCAACGAGAGACGCGGCCGTTGTACAGCTGCGATACTTCGTATCACCTCGTCTAATGATGGGGCAATGTCCTTGTACTATGGCGACTGTCGCGTCGCGTGCTTGGCAAAAGGCGGGTAAATTCGGGTATCAGAAGGGGTCCGAAATTGTGATTTGTGTCACAGATCGGCACGACCCTGTTTCTCGATAATGACATGAGGTTGCAACATGTGAAGTGACTAACAGGTAACCGAGCCTCGCTGTTGTGAGTGTAACAAAATTCACGATTGTCTTCCCCCTGTTTTCGCTGTTGTCGCGAATATCCAGTTCAGTTCGCTCTATGTCGAGAGTGGATATTTTCCTTTCACGAACATTTGCGCTTGTCGAACACATTGAGCAAACCAGATTTGTAATCCTGTGTCACTTCAACCTTGAACAAACACCTCCTTGGTGTCGATCTCTAACGGTCATCTGCATTCACGGCTATATCCATACGACATGACGACGTTTGGATAGAGCATCGCAGTCAGTCCACTTGACGACTGGCTAGACAAACTGCGCGAAATGCGGAATCCACCTGTATTCGTCATCCCACGCACCTTTTGGAACGTTACATCTTTCCCACCCTTCCCCACTTCCAGCCAGTGGCACCGCAATGCTGACGTTCGTGGGAAACTGACCTTCAGCGACCTCGCTGCTGTGCGGCGCTCTACGGCCCAGGCGCAGGTCCCAACAGGTATTTGAGCTGACTCCACTCGCACGGTATAGCCGTTCATTTAGTCCACAGCGCCGTTCGTGCTCACCTTACAATTACTCGACTCCCTAACGCATAGGTCGGAAATCTATAGGATTAGGTAAGGTTACCCGTATGATGATCCGAAGGCAGATTGTGTGCTGTTCTTCTTGTTCCATTCTGGTTCACGCACATCAGTGACGTCTCGCGCGCGCACCCGCCGTTACCCTTGGCGATCCGGCGGCGAGCGCAGCCGTGTTGCCGTCGCAGCAGCGCAGTTGTCCGCAATGACGGCGGGGACAGGCGGAGCGGGGGGGTCAAGGGTGGTGGAGAGCGGGGGAAGCGGGGACAGTCGGGAGTGGGAGATGGGAGAGGGGAGAATGCGTGGAGGGCGCGTGAACATCGTTCCGCGGCAAGACGCGGTGGAGGAGAAGCGGGCGGGCACGGCTGCAAGGGGAGTGCGCGTGGGGGAGGTGGTGCGGGGCAGCGGCGTGGAGGAGGGAGGGCTGGCAGCCGCGTCACACATGAGCGCGCGTGAGGGCGAGCACGTGGAACAAGGCTGTGCTGCAGGGGTGGGAGCGAGGGCAGCAGCAGGGCGAGGAGACAGTGCGGCAGCAAAGGAGCGGGGCACAGCAGGCCCGCTCTCACACGCGCACACACAGCCCACACCCACGTGTGCTGACCTGCCTGTGCTGGCCGCCGTGACGCCAGGGTCAGCCCCCACGCTAGGGGCAGCAGACCCCTGGTCAGACGCGCCCTTCAGTGTGGGCAGTCACAGGAGCGCCCATGCGGATGCATGCGCATCAATGGAGGGCCACCTGTGCAAGGAGCCATCTCTGCTCGTCTTCTCAGGTACCCTCCCGCTGCTCCCGCTGCCTCGCCTGCCCCCGTCGCCTGCCCCCGTCGCCTGCCCGCCACCCCTGCCGCTCTACATGCTGACGTGCACCTCTCTCTGTGGTGCCGGCCTTGTCCCCCCCTCCGTGCGTGGTGCGGTGTGTGGCAGGAGGCACGGCGTTCAACGCGGTGGCGGAGGAGCTGCACGAGTGGACCACCGCCGTGGCGCACGTGCTGCCCGTCTCCGACGATGGCGGCAGCACCGCAGAGATCGTGCGCGTCATAGGTCAGCCACGCACACCCTGCTGCCATAGGTCAGCCACTCACACCCTGCTGCTCTCTGCCTCACCGCCCCTCTGCGAGGTGGTTCTACTGTTGCCGCATCACGCTTCTCATGCTCCCTCCAGCGCCCACCTCTCTCACTCAACACCCTCTTTGATTTGACCCCCTCATCCCGCACCACTCTGTGTGCCCCCAGGTGGGCCTGCCATCGGTGACATTCGCTCGCGCTGCCTGCGCCTGTCCGACGGGTCGAGCCACGAGGCCAGAGCAGTGCGGCGACTGCTGGGACACCGCCTGCCACTGCACCCCGCGCAAGCCAAAGCAGAAAGGTGACCTCGCGCCCGCACCACACCCATCACAACCACTTACTACATCCATCACCCGCCCACCGTTCTCCCTGGGCTGGTGCGCACGGCTCACAGTGTGGCGTGCCATGGGCATGTGGTGTGTGTGTGTGCGGTGGGTGTGCAGGCTGAGCATAGTGGAGGGCGAGCATGAGCTGTGGGGGGGCGTGCCGGATCCGTACAAGGAGATCATCCGCGCCTTCCTCCTGCACTTCCACTACCAGGTCCTCCTCCTGCACTTCCACTACCAGGTCCTCCTCCTGCACTTCCACTACCAGGTCCTCCTCCTGCACTTCCACTACCAGGTCCTCCTCCTGCACTTCCACTACCAGGTCCTCCTCCTGCACTTCCACTACCAGGTCCTCCTCCTGCACTTCCACTACCAGGTCCTCCTCCTGCACTTCCACTACCAGGTCCTCCTCCTGCACTTCCACTACCAGGTCCTCCTCCTGCACTTCCACTACCAGGTCCTCCTCCTGCACTTCCACTACCAGGTCCTCCTCCTGCACTTCCACTACCAGGTCCTCCTCCTGCACTTCCACTGCCAGGTCCTCCTCCTGCACTTCCACTGCCAGGTCCTCCTCCTGCACTTCCACTGCCAGGTCCTCCTCCTGCACTTCCACTGCCAGGTCCTCCTCCTGCACTTCCACTACCAGGTCCTCCTCCTGCACTTCCACTTCCAGGTCCTCCTCCTGCACTTCCACTGCCAGGTCCTCCTCCTGCACTTCCACTGCCAGGTTCTCCTCCTGCACTTCCACTGCCAGGTCCTCCTCCTGCACTTCCACTACCAGGTCCTCCTCCTGCACTTCCACTACCAGGTCCTCCTCCTGCACTTCCACTACCAGGTCCTCCTCCTGCACTTCCACTACCAGGTCCTCCTCCTGCACTTCCACTACCAGGTCCTCCTCCTGCACTTCCACTACCAGGTCCTCCTCCTGCACTTCCACTACCAGGTCCTCCTCCTGCACTTCCACTGCCAGGTCCTCCTCCTGCACTTCCACTACCAGGTCCTCCTCCTGCACTTCCACTACCAGGTCCTCCTCCTGCACTTCCACTACCAGGTCCTCCTCCTGCACTTCCACTACCAGGTCCTCCTCCTGCACTTCCACTACCAGGTCCTCCTCCTGCACTTCCACTACCAGGTCCTCCTCCTGCACTTCCACTACCAGGTCCTCCTCCTGCGCTTCCACTACCAGGTCCTCCTCCTGCACTTCCACTACCAGGTCCTCCTCCTGCACTTCCACTACCAGGTCCTCCTCCTGCACTTCCACTACCAGGTCCTCCTCCTGCACTTCCACTACCAGGTCCTCCTCCTGCACTTCCACTACCAGGTCCTCCTCCTGCACTTCCACTACCAGGTCCTCCTCCTGCACTTCCACTACCAGGTCCTCCTCCTGCACTTCCACTACCAGGTCCTCCTCCTGCACTTCCACTACCAGGTCCTCCTCCTGCACTTCCACTACCAGGTCCTCCTCCTGCACTTCCACTGCCAGGTCCTCCTCCTGCACTTCCACTACCAGGTCCTCCTCCTGCACTTCCACTACCAGGTCCTCCTCCTGCACTTCCACTACCAGGTCCTCCTCCTGCACTTCCACTGCCAGGTCCTCCTCCTGCACTTCCACTACCAGGTCCTCCTCCTGCACTTCCACTACCAGGTCCTCCTCCTGCACTTCCACTACCAGGTCCTCCTCCTGCACTTCCACTACCAGGTCCTCCTCCTGCACTTCCACTACCAGGTCCTCCTCCTGCACTTCCACTACCAGGTCCTCCTCCTGCACTTCCACTACCAGGTCCTCCTCCTGCACTTCCACTACCAGGTCCTCCTCCTGCACTTCCACTACCAGGTCCTCCTCCTGCACTTCCACTACCAGGTCCTCCTCCTGCACTTCCACTACCAGGTCCTCCTCCTGCACTTCCACTACCAGGTCCTCCTCGCCTCCACACCTACGTTCCGCTCCGCTTGCAACATCTCTCATGTCACCAACATCTCTCATGTCACCAACATCTCTCATGTCACCAACATCTCTCATGTCACCAACATCTCTCATGTCACCAACATCTCTCATGTCACCAACATCTCTCATGTCACCAACAGCCCATCAGGACCTTCTCCCTCGTCCTCATGTGCCCATCCTTGTCCGCCCTCCGACCTTTCTTCCTTGGCCCTCCATGCCAGATCCTCCGCAATGCAGGCCGTCGCTTCTGCTTCCAGCATGGCAGGTGTGCATTCTCTTTCCTCCTCGCACACCCATCCTTTTCCCATGATGAACTGACATGACACGTGCACGCCACACCCTTTACGATGACTACCACCTTACGCTCTCCACTTGTCCTTCTGACCTCGCACCATCATGCCATGCGTGCCACCTGTGTGCACCCGCGCATGCGTGCCACCTGTGTGTGCGCGTGCATGCGTGCCAGTGTGGGCAACTTCTTCTTCTCAGGCGCGCGCTCCTTCTTCCGCTCGCTCGACGCCGCCATCTTCCTCTTCTCCCGCGTCTCCAACATCCCGCAGCGCAGCCTCGTGCTGCCCTGTGTCTGCACCAACGACCGCTTCACTCTCGGCGCCGAGCTCTTTGTAACCACACAACCCCCCCACACACCGCTTCCTCCCTTTAGCCATGCCTCTCATCCCACCTCCCATACTGACAAAAGCCCCCGCCTAGCTCTTCATCGCCTCCATTGCCTATCAGTGCGGTGTGTCCCACTTTGGCCCCCATTAGCATTGCATGGCCCATTTCTCCTTCCACTCACTCCAGTGACTTGTCCCAGTTTTCATCTAATCCCAATATCTTCCCCTATGACTTTGTGCGTGCGACTTGCCCTTCCCGCATGCGTGTTGCCGCACCACATGGTGTGGTGTGGGCATCAGGACGGCAGCATCATCCGCGGGCAGAACGACATCTCACACCCCGCTGTCGTGGACAGCCCACGCCACCTGCCACTCTCCGTCGACAAGGTCGCACTGCACTGCTCCCACCACCCTGCTGCTGCAATGCCGCCTCTGCATGCCTTCACGGCCCCCCTCACACCCACACACGTCCACCCCCCAGGTTGATGGAGTGTGCCTCACGTGTGCTCCTGCTGCCTGTCTTCCCCTCCCTTTTCCTACCCCCATTCTCTCTGCAGTCGTCTGACGCGTCGCCTCCTCTGCCCGCGCCCATCCGCCGGGTGTTCTACATGTCGAGTGAAGGCACCAACCTGCTGCATGAGGTGCGTGAAGGCACCAACCTGCTGCATGAGGTGCGTGAAGGCACCAACCTGCTGCATGAGGTGAGTGAAGGCACCAACCTGCTGCATGAGGTGAGTGAAGGCACCAACCTGCTGCATGAGGTGCGTGAAGGCACCAACCTGCTGCATGAGGTGAGTGAAGGCACCAACCTGCTGCATGAGGTGAGTGAAGGCACCAACCTGCTGCATGAGGTGAGTGAAGGCACCAACCTGCTGCATGAGGTGCGTGAAGGCACCAACCTGCTGCATGAGGTGCGTGAAGGCACCAACCTGCTGCATGAGGTGAGTGAAGGCACCAACCTGCTGCATGAGGTGAGTTAAGGCACCAACCTGCTGCATGAGGTGCGTGAAGGCACCAACCTGCTGCATGAGGTGAGTGAAGGCACCAACCTGCTGCATGAGGTGCGTGAAGGCACCAACCTGCTGCATGAGGTGAGTGAAGGCACCAACCTGCTGCATGAGGTGAGTGAAGGCACCAACCTGCTGCATGAGGTGAGTGAAGGCACCAACCTGCTGCATGAGGTGAGTGAAGGCACCAACCTGCTGCATGAGGTGCGTGAAGGCACCAACCTGCTGCATGAGGTGAGTGAAGGCACCAACCTGCTGCATGAGGTGAGTGAAGGCACCAACCTGCTGCATGAGGTGCGTGAAGGCACCAACCTGCTGCATGAGGTGCGTGAAGGCACCAACCTGCTGCATGAGGTGCGTGAAGGCACCAACCTGCTGCATGAGGTGCGTGCCGCCTGCCATGGGCTCACCTCAGTGCCGCCTGCCATGGGCTCACCTCACTGCCGCCATGTGCGCCACCTCTGGGATGCTTCAAGCTGCCAGCTGCTGGAACTGCTGCATCTTGCATGTGCCATGTGTGAACCTAAGGCCCGTTGCTGCCATCTTTTATCACCGTGTGTGAGGGTCGTTGGTGTGTGGTGTGTGGCAGGTGTTCCCACGGGTGAATCCGCGAGTGCTGGAGCACATCGCATCAGTGGATGCCATCATCTATGGCATTGGCTCCCTCTTCACCTCCATCTGCCCCTCCCTGGTACCTACACCCCTCTTTCTTACCATCTCCTCGTTCTCACCATTTGTGTTCATCTCCCTCACGTCTTGCTCCTGTCATGCTCTCACTATCACTGTTTTATGCAGAGAGTTATCCATTCATGTCTCCCGTTTTCGTTGCCCTCGCCACTGTCCCGTCCGCAATCCCTTTCCCTCGAACCTTAGATCTTGCGAGGGGTGGGAGAAGCAATCGCTGCACGAGCATGTCCCAAGGTATGGCCGAGTGCACCAGAACATCCCAAGGTATGGCCGAGTGCACCAGAACATCCCAAGGTATGGCCGAGTGCTCCAGAACATCCCAAGCAGGAATGCTCGGCTCTGCTGCACACGCCGAGTGCACCAGAACATCCCAAGGTATGGCCGAGTGCTCCAGAACATCCCAAGCAGGAATGCTCGGCTCTGCTGCACACCCCATCAACTCTCTTTGTTCTTCCGTTGCCATCCTCCCCTTCACTGGTTCATTTGTGCGGGAGGGCATGAGTTCCGAAAAAAAAGCTTGCAGTCGCATCACATGTTGTGGGGCATGTTTTGCTCATCCGCCCCATGCACGCATGGCATAACAGGTGCTAGTGCTGAACGGGTCACTGGACCGTGAAACAGCGGGCATGGCGGCGTCAGACTTCGTGCTGGCCATCTGCAACTGCCTCATCCGCACCTTCGGAGACGACTCCCGCCACCGCCTCACCCACTCGGTCAGATGCACACGCCACCGCTCACACCTGTGTATTCCTGCATGCTTTCAACTCCCACTTACCTTTCGTCCATTGCACTCGTGTTCCCCTCTGCTGTGGCCACTCACCTCCAATCTCCTGCAGTCTATGCACTATGTGACGCATCTTATCGCACCAGAGGGAGGAGCCATTCCCCTTGACCATGAACGCCTCACATACTTGGGAGTCACCTCTGTGGTAAGTCCTGCCACATACCCACTGCTTCAAGGTGTTAGCCCCGCATGCCTGTGGTCTGCCTTCCATGCTATGCCAGTTGGTATGCATGATCCACAGCATTCATGTCCCATCCCATTCGCATCTTTCTTATGTGTCGCCCTGCCCCCTGCGCCAGACTATGGTGCCCTCACCTCCCTGTGAAAGCAGTACTGGAGTGCATTATGATGTGCATGCGCTTGTCACAACATTGAAGGACCTCCTTACCAAACAGATGGCCAGCCAAGTAACCACCTGAACCAGCAACCTCCTTTTTGCAGCCTCTATACCATTAGGCGTTTGGTTTGTTTGCCCTAGTAGTGCCTGCCGTGAATTCTTTATCTGATTCACCACCCTGAAAGATACACCTTGTTGTCAAATGTTATAGCATCTAATGGGTTGCCAAATTATATGCATGTTTAGTTTAGATAGGCTATATGGGGGTTAACACTAGGGGGTACACAATTTCTCTCGACATTCTTGCACTCCCCCCCTTGACCTAATCAAGCATCCTAGCCTAAGCCTTGTGACATGGCATCAGAGCAGGAGGTCCTTAGGACCTTAGAACGATTTCCTTTTAGGGCCCACCTTAAAATCGCCTACGGTTACCGCGTTACCCCGCGCCCGCCCTGCCCTCCTACGAGTCGCGCTGCCCCTGCTGGCCGCGCGCCACAGCTGCAGCGCGCTTTTTTCCCTGTTTTTTCGCGGGCGCTGCCCTGCCCGCTCTGCCCCGCGCGCGCTGCTCGTCGCGTCGCCCCGCAGCGCCCCGCGCGCTGCTCGTCGGGTCGCGCCGCAGCCCCGCTGCGCCCGCGCGCCTCACGCTGAGCCGCCCCGCAGCCCCGCGCGTCGCCCTCTCCCCTCCCAATCCCGTCGCCCACCTCCTCCCCGCCCCCTTCCTACCGTCGCGACCTCCTCCCTGCCCCTTTCCTACCGTCGCGACCTCCTCCCCGCCCCTTTCCCACCGTCGCGACCTCCTCCCCGCCCCTTTCATACCGTCGTGACCTCATCCCCGCCACTTTCCTACCGTCGCGCCCTCCTCCCCGCCCCTTCTCACCGCACCGCCTGCCCGCCTGCACGCCTACACGCTACTGACGGTCTCCCCCCTCCCGCGGCTGGTAGCCGCGCTCTCTCAGTTTCCCCTCCTATGGCGACCTCCCGAGTACTTCGCTTTGACCCTGAGGGGAGACCGATTGACTTTAGTACGTGGCTTACGCAGGCGCAGCGCCACCTTAAGAGCCAGCGGCAGGATGGCGTGCACCTGTTCGCACACGCGTCCGGCGCTCAGACCGCCCCTCTGCAGCCTCGGCCGCTGCCTACTTCTGAGCAGGAGGCCGACTACCAGCGCCAGCTCCTCGCTCGTGACGTGTGCAAGTCTCGTGACGCCGCTGCCTGCCTCGCCCTGACCGACCTTCTCCCGCCGACAGAGGCAGTCCACTTCGCTCAGGTCGAGTCTGCTGCAGATCTGTATAAGGCTATTGTTGCTCGCTACTCCACACCCTCCTCTGCTTCGCTCAGTCGCCTCCTCGTACCCTTTATCTACCCTGACCTCGCCTCCTTTGAGACTGTCTCTGACCTCGCTACCCACCTGCGCTCTCTTGACGCTCGCTTTCGCGCTGCTTGCACTGAGGACCAGCTTGCCCTTGCCCCGCCCCCTATGTGGCTCACTATTCACTGGCTAGTCATTCGACTCCCTGACCGCGACGCGCTTCTTCTGAAGCACCCCACTGAGCTCACCATCGATCTTCTTGAGACTGCTCTCTCGAAGATCGAGAGTAACCTCCTCACTGTTGCCTCTGCCTCTTCCGCGCCTCCTCCTCGTCTCTTTGAGGGGTGTGCGGTACCACAGCTTCCCACCTTCACTGCCTCACTTGCCACCCCCACGTCTTCTTCCTCTGAGGAGACGGCGGCTGTTTCTGTCTCTGGCGGACAGAAACGTGGCAAGGCCGGCAAGAAGGGCGGGAAGGGCGGCGGGGGTACTGGGGGTGGTGCGGGTAGTGGCGGTGGCGGTGGAGCAGGTGGTGGGAGTGGTGGTGGGGGTGGCTCGGGCCCTGAGGGCCCTCCTCTTGACGGTGGAGTTCTCCTTGGTGGTGCGGGGTTCCAGCAGCAGCAGCAGCAGCCGACTCCTCAGCAGCTGCCACCGCCTGGACAGCAGCAGCGGCAGGGACAGCAGCAGCAGCGCCCGCCACAGCAGCAGCCGCAGCAGTGGGGCCCTCAGCAGCAGTGGAGGTCTGCTGGTCCCCCGAGCACTGGGCGCAGTGCTGCCCCCTCCAGTCGGGGACCTCGCGCGGCCGGCCGCGACGTTGGTCCCTGTGAGTACTGGATCCTTACGGGTCTTCGTAGGGACTCGTACTGTGGCCGCCCCGACCACTCTGCTGCACGCTGCTTCAGTCGTCTCGACGACCTCTACCGTTTGCACCACGGCCCCTCCGCTCCCCCGCCGCCACGCTGGGGGACGCTTCTTGCTCGTGGTATTGCTGTTTTTGATATGACTATGGATGATGCTAGGTCCTATGCCATGTATGCTGATGTTGACTATAGTGCTCCTGGATCTGTGTACTTGCCTGTACCTAGCTTAGGATCTTTGCCTGTTGCTAGAGTAGGTGCTAGTGTAGGATCTTGCTTAGCTAATAGTACAGGTACTCCTTCAGCGGACGCCTCTCTCTCTTTCACACTGGACTCAGGAGCGACGCAGTGCTTCTTTCGCGACCGCACGACTCTCTCTCCACTACCGGCGCCAGTCTCCATAGCACTGGCCGATCCCTCTTCGGGACCGGTCATTGCGACTCACGCCACTACGCTCCCGTGCCCAGCTGCTCCTTCCGGTTCCCTGACTGGCCTCCACGTTCCTACGTTCTCTAGGTTCCTGGTTGGTGTGGGCCCCCTGGCGAGACAGCACGTCGGGGTCTGGGTTGAGCCTTCTGGTGACACCGCGGTCTGTGTGGACGGTGACACGTACACCCTTCACACCGACCCCCGTCAGGTTCCTCCGTCCCACCAGGTAGCCAGGTCCAGTCAGGTTGCTGTGTCCGGTCTAGTTGCTGCGTCGTGCTCGTGTCGGTCGCTTGCCCACCCCTCCCTCCTCTGGCACCACCGCCTTGGTCACCCGTCCCTCCCTCGTCTCCGTGCTATGTCCAGTCAGCGTCTTGTCTTAGGCCTCCCCCGAGTCCTTCCGCCGCTCCCGCCGTCCCCAGCTCCTCCGTGCGGTCCTTGTGTCCAGGGTCGGCTGCGCGCCACCCCTCACTCCTCCTCCCTCCGTCCGGCCACCGAGCCCTTTGAGACACTCCACTTAGACGTCTGGGGCCCCGCTCGCCGTCTTGGCCCTGAGCGGGAGATTTTTTTTTTTTTTCTGGTGGTCGTTGACGACTACTCTCGGTACACCACCGTGTTCCCTTTGGCGAAGAAGTCTGACGTGACTTCTACGCTGATCCGGTGGCTGCTCGCCACCGAGAGTACTCGCCGTCGTCGTGTCAGTTGTCTCCACTCCGACCGTGGGGGTGAGTTTCGCTCCGGCATTCTCGCCAGATTCTGTGCTGAGCAGGGCATCACCCAATCCTAGACTCTTCCAGACTCTCCACAGCAGAATGGGGTTGCTGAGCGCCGCCTAGGCCTGGTCATGGAGATTGCCCGCACCTCCATGATCCACGCCCGCGCGCCCCGTTTTTTGTGGCCCTACGCGGCTCGGTACGCCGCTCACCAGTTGAACCTCTGGCCTCGCGTCTCACGGCCAGGTTCTTCACCGACCAGTCTTTGGACAGGGTCCCCTGGTGTTGCGTCGAGGTTTAGTGTCTGGGGGTGCTTGGCTCTTGTCCGCGACACCTCTGCGGACAAGATCTCACCTCGCGCCGTCCCCTGTGTCTTCCTTGGTTTCCCAGAGGACTCCTCTGACTTCACCTTTTACCACCCTCCCTCTCACCGGTTCTTTGACTCTCGTGACGTCCGTTTCGACGAGTCCGTCCCCTACTACGTCAGGTACCCCTGTCGAGGTCTCCCGGTTCCCCCCCCTCCTCTCTTCCTGGCTCCAGCTCTTCCTCCTCCCGCCCCTGCTCCTCAAGTACCCCCCCCTGTTCCCGCTCCGTCTGGTGTGTCCCACGCTACTCCCCCACCCTTGGTACCCCCCTAGGTCTCTCCTCCCTCCCCTCAATCATCCTCACAGCCTCTGCAGCAGCCGTGAGCGCTTCCTCTCCCGGCCACTGCGGACTCTGAGGGTGTTGGTGCTCGAGGTGAGGGCTCTGGCGGTGCTCGCTCTGGGGGTGCTGGCGTTGGAGCTGTTCGTGCACCTACAGGAGCCGCCCGTTCTGGGGGTGTTGGCGTTGGCGCTGAGCGTGCACCTGCCGCAGCTGCCCGTTCCGAGGGTACGGGGGCTGGTGGCGGTGCTGGAGCTGGTGGTGTTTCTGGAGCTGGAGAGTCTGGGGCTGGTGCTGGTGCCACTGGAGGCACCACGACTGGGGGTGCGGGTACACCTCCTATAGGTGCTGGTCGTGCTGCCGCGGGAGGTACTCGCTCTGGGGGTGCTCAGCCGGGTACTGTCGAGGACGGAGGAGGTTCTTCTGCTGCGTCTCCTGACACCACTCCTCCTCCTCACCCCTACCCGACTCGTTACCAGGCCCTTCTTCGTCTAGAGCGTGAGGAGCAGCAGCGTTTGGAGCGTGAGAGGTCGGAGGTCCAGCAGCGTTTGGAGCGTGAGAGGTTGGAGTTGCAGCGGGAGCAGCCGCAGCAGCAGCAGCAGCAGCAGCAGCAGCAGCAGCAGCAGCCGCAGCAGCAGCAGCAGCAGCAGCAGCAGCAGCAGCAGCAGCAGCAGCAGCAGCAGCAGCAGCAGCAGCAGCAGCAGCAGCAGCAGCAGCAGCAGCAGCAGCAGCAGCAGCCACAGCAGCCGGAGCAGCCTCCGGCCCCTGTTTCTGGCCTTCGGGCCCTTGGTCTCCCCTCCTCTCGTCCTGTGTTCGGTCCTACGTTTCCTCCTCCGGACTCAGCTCCGGCTGTGTTCCCTCGTTCTCAGTCTCCTCCGTCTCCCCCTCCTCTCACCCACACTTGGACCTCTCGTCCTCCTCGTGCTCGTCCCTCGTCACCTGTCACTGACCTCCGTACCGTTTTGTTTCGTTCTAGTCCCCCTCGTCCTCCTTAGTCTGTTTTCCCCGTCCTCCTGAGTCGTCCCTCACGGCCTCCCTTGTCAAACATTATATGTGTTGTGCTTGTTTAGGCTACAGTGGGTTAGCCTATAGGGGGTACACAATTCTAGGGTTAGGTACTTGTACTCATTTCACT